AGGATCCCCTCGAGGGGTGCAGGAGCGCGAGGGACCCACTCAAGGGGTGCAGGAGCACGAGGGATCCACTCGAGGGGTGCAGGACGCGCTGAGGATGGTGGGTTTCATTCAGGAAGGGCCAGGAGAAGCTGTCCCCTCCCCGCGTCCCATGGTGAAGGGGCCTGTGCACCTCTCTCCTCTCCCCTCACAGCACAACACGGCCGTCACTCCCCACACGCCGTCACCAGCCGATGCTGCGGGGTGTCCTGACCTGAGCAAACCCATCTGTCCCACGCCACCGCTGGCACCCAACGCCAACGCCACCCCATGGCCCAGCATGTGGAGAAACCCCACCAGTGGCCTTCAGGGGAAAGAGATGGGGCCCAGTTACCAGAAGAGGCTGTTCTGGGGCCTGCGAGACGCTCCGAGCCCTCAGAGGTTGTCACTGACTCATATATCCACACCCTGACACTTTGTCGCCCAACTAAAACTCACTTGTTTCCTGATGGACCCCAAAACCTTGGCTCCCACAGGCTGAGCTCCCACAGGCCCTGCAGAGAAGCCGCCATCCTCCACCCAGACCAGACACAAGATGGCAACTCAGCACCACCTACACACCCAAGCCCAATCCCCTCGCTATTTCCTACCCCTGGCAGATCACGATCTGATGAGGAACTGGTACAAAACCTCCCAGTTTTCAATCTCAGAGCCCCCCAGAGCTCCTGGTGACAGCCTGGAGAAGCTGGGACAGTGGCAGGTGCCAGCGCCCGCCACCTCCAGCCGGGCCCGCGCGCCTTCCCCCGCTGCTCCCTCTCCAGCCTCCATGGAAAATCACATTACACCGTCCTGGCACGGGAAAGATGGCTGGGAACCCAGCTAGGTTGAGAGAAGAAAACATATAAAAATCAGGAAATACTGAGCAATAAAAGCCGAGGCAAAGGCTGCGGGACAGAGCCACAAAGTGCCACAAGTGTGTTTTCCCTCCAGGCCTGAGGAAATTCAGGGCAGGTTCAAAGCAGAGCTGCAGCCAGCAGAAAACAAGGCTCCCCATTGAAACGCGCTGTGCACGCAGGCTGCCGCCCTCTCCACAAAAAGAAAGGCAAATTTCATATATTTGTGCCGCTGGGGATATTGAGAAGGCGCTGTGCTGCCTGGAAAAGGGCAGCTATGGGCAAGGGACAGCCTCAGTAAAATGGAGCCGTGTCGTGTCAGGGGAGGCCGGGCCCTCTTCTCTGCAGAACTCGATGGGACGTGGGGCACCAAATCCCACCAACAACTACGGTGTGGAGTAAGAAATGAGTGAAAGATGCCACGCAGAGCATCCCCGAAACGCTCCCACGTGTAACTCACACATCCAGCAAAGGAAGCCTTCCCCAACAGCTTCTCCTGGATGCTCAGCCAGGCTCAGGGCTTTCATCCTGCAGCGCCGTGGTGGCTTTTCTTGGTGCACTGCTGGTTTTGGGGTGGGTTTTTTTTCCCCTTAACTCCACAGAACATATAATGTCGAGCAGAGTATAGCGCTCCTCCGCCTGCCAAGCCTGATGTCATGCTCTCATTATGTCATTTGTGGGCCCGCTTTGCCTTCATCTCACAAAAAAAAAAAGGGAGGGAAGGGAAAGGAAAAGGGGGGCAGTGCTGGCTTGTGCCTTCCCCAGCCCTTTTGGTGCGTGGAGCCCAGCCAGAACAGTAATGGGAAAAGCATCCGCAGACGGAGCAGCGTCTGTGCGGAGAGGAGCCCGCTGCAGGCGGGGGGAGAGAAGCTGCACACTAAAAACTGAGATTTTTAGGGGTTGGAGAAGCTCCAGAGGTGCTGGGGAAAGGCGGTGGCATGGGCACAGTTGTGTTCCCATCCAGGAAGCCTCTGCAGTGGCTACCAAGGGGTTTGCAGGAGGGACAGAGCATCTCCATGCAGGGTTCAGCCCCATCCTGCCCCACATCCCATCCCCAGGCACCGGGTGTTTGGGGAGATGCGGTGGGACCGTGCCCCAGCACCGCTGCAGCTCCTGGCAGCAAGGGAGAGCTTTCAGAGACTGCATTGGACCATCACATTTAGCAGCCACCAGATCCATCTGCCACGCTGCCGTCCATCCCTTCCCCAGCCAGCCCAGGCTCCACAACTCACCTCCTTCACCAAAAAAGCACTTTCTGTGCTCCACAACTCACCTCCTTCACCCAAAACGCACCTTCCATGCTTTGCTGAGGCCTGGTAGAAGCATCACTTCGCCCCACCTCATTTTCTGCACTGTGAACACTGAATAATTCTTATTCATCTTCCCCTCTCCTGACTCCAGAGCCTTTCCCAGGTTGCCTGCAGCCCCTCTTTCCCAAGCACATCCTCCAGTGGAAACCATTCCCCTGTTTCTGATCCCACCAAACTCCTCACGCTTCACCCAAAAAACATCCCCAGGGAATATGAAAGTGCTCAGACCCTGGTGGTTCCCATGGCCAAACCCCTGCAGCGACCCAGCAGGAGTCAATGACCAAAGCGAG